GGGGCAGGCACTCAATGCAAGATGAAACAGTTGAATGTAATCTTGCCACCTTCAGTCTCACTGAAAGCAGTCCACTTAAATTGCTTGCATGTGTCCTCAGTTTTCATGCTGTGTGTTTGGAAAAGTTGGAAAGATGCTACCATGTTATCTCTGTTGGCCTCACTTAAGGAGAGAAGTGACTTAACTTGCAAACAACTGGAACAAGCCGATGTCCTCCAGATTCAAGGACTGAGGATGTCCTGAATGCAGCAACAAAAGTAAGGGGGTATTACTGCTCAGATTCTTTATCAGATGATTTAAAAAAAACAAGATTGATTCATGTTAACAGCCAACAACCATAAAGTATGCTAGTGCAGAGGCCAGGAAAGGAAAGAACATGACAAATCAACATCAGCAAACCCCACATGCTCCTCGTCACAATCCTCAAAAAAGTTCCCAAACAGATGCAGGAGACAAAAAAAAGTAGAGCTGACGTGCATTCCCATTTTCAACTCTAACCTGAACATTCCAGCTACAGTTGATAACCTTTTTACAACATGGCACTTGCTTCAACGACTGTCACAATCCAGCATTAAGGGGCGGAATGGAAGCAACTTACCTTAGACAAACTATTCTACAGTTTTCCACCAAGCAATATTGATCCACACCTGCCGCTAAACCAAACTTTAGCTTATTAGACCGTACCAGGTATCTTGATAGGCAGTCAAAATCATGATCATGTAACAATGGGAGTACTAAGGCTAATGGGAGTACATAAAGCGGTCACTCATCTTAATTTTCTAGGAAACATTTCTTTGGGTACTGAACTCTCATTAAGTATTTCAAAGAAGCCAGTTTCTTCAGCCACACTAGTATATCACCTGGAATGTGCCTCCCAGAAGCCGAAGACAGCACGTTTCTTAATCTTGAACGGGAACACAGTAGTTTTTATACCAGTAAACCCAAATTATGTTTTATTGGTAGACAGCCATCTCCACGGCCAAACAGGAACATTTGTAGCCCTTTGTGAAAGGAGCTCCATTAATGAGCTGCTAGAATGGTATAAGCGTTTTAACAATTTTCATTGTTCTCTTGGTACTGTTACCGTAGTCACATTTGGGTAATTTGAAATATCAAATGAGGAATCAAATCAGTGTATATAATACAAATAGATGACCTTCTAAAATAATTTATTAAGAGTTATTATGATTACTTTTCTTACAGATAATGAGTGAGCACATTTTGTAATTTAACTAAACGATTTAGTTTATTTTTATATAAATATTGCCAAATAATTAAATTCAATTCAAGGTATGGTCTTATTAATTGCTTGGTCTTACTGGGTAATTAAGAGCTTCAATTGTCATAAATCCTTAAATAATCTAATGATGTGTAGGGAAAACTTCACATCTTAAAAAATATCATCTTAGTCTTACATTTGTTATAATTGACAACAAATTTAGTGTTTAAGACAAAGAGCACGTTTAGGAAACTAACCTGCACAAGGGTTCCACATTCTTAAGTCAACATCCTTAAGAGCGACTCCGCGTAACTATCAACTACACGTGGAAATAGTCAAAAAATGACCTCCCCTCAAACTCAGCCAGAATGAAGCCCTGTGGGCCCTAGTTACAAAATCGTTGGTTTAAGTTCGATCGATTGGACGGTATTTTTTTAACGAATTTTTTCTTCCCGAGGCCTAAAATGAGCTAAAATTATGCAAAACTTAGAGCCACTTTCAGTGGCTCGTATATTTAAAAATTAAGATTGTAATTAAAATATAACTGTACGTCATATCTTTTTTTTTTCCTCTATAACTAGAACTAATAAGTTCGCGATTTAGTCAATAATAGATTTTTTAACAAATTTTCAAAGTTGTTGACTCAAAATCGCTTTTCAAACGGTCAAAATTTAGCACATTTTCAAGAGCAAAAAAAGCGTATTGGTACATGGCTTTAACCAACAAGGCTTGCTTAGTCTGAAAGAGCATTCTTTTTTCTTCAAATTGGCGAAATAAAATTTTTGGGTAAATGAAATCACGAGCTTTGACAAAGCAGAGTAAAATGCAAATATTACACTTAAAAATATGACCTCTGACCCGAGTCAAGCAACTGCGAATTATGGTAGGCGGCAAACCTTTTGTTATCTTTTGGGTTTTTTTTTAGCAATATCCATCCGAAATACCTGTAGATGAGAAGCTGTGTTAAAATACAAAAGGTGTAAGTTACAAAATCTTCGATGTAGCAAAAAATTACAAGACACAAGAAACAATTTTTGTCTTCTTCGCTTTCTGGCACTAGCTTCAGCCTGTTATCGAATTTCAGTCAAGCATGCCGGCAAATCAGTAGTTGCATAAATAAACGTTATCAGGTGACACACCTGAAACTTTTAAGTCTGCGAGTCTATGTGGGCTTTTATAGGGGAATTGATTTCTGGAATGCCTTACGACTTTCAGAAGGAACCGAATCATGTCACTGTTTGGACGTTTTATCGTTCATATCACGTGCCGCCTACATGTACATGTACGCTGGAGGAAAGCCACAGGCCACTCTGAAATTAAGACCGAATATAAATGGTGTTATGGATGGATACAATGATTTTAATTTTAATAAACTAAAAGCCAAGCTATTAGACCGCAATACTTTTGCAACTCTATTGACTGGCCTGCATTAAATAGTTTTGTATTTATTTATCAAATTAGCGAAGCGAGAGCAGTTCAGACTGGTAATCAATTATTTGACAGGTGTCAGTAACCTGACTCACAATTTCCCCCTGTAACCAGACGCAAAAAAGTACTGCCTTGGAATTTTGTTAGTTTTATTTGATTACGTTAATATGCAGGAACACTTAAATAAGACGAAAGAAAGAGGTTGATTAGTTGAGGGAGTTTTCAGTACTTAGTTTTTAAATACTGTGTCGCCTGGAGCGCTCCACTCGCCAAAATGGCTTCATGTGAATTTTCTAAGTATGTCGGAGGTGATTGTGGAGCAAGCTTAGTACTTCCAAGTGGTGATTTGTGCGTAAGAATTTCTGAATGCTCTAAGGACATCAAAGGCCACCTCAAGACGTGCGGCGTTTCAGATGGTACACTATGTTCGGAGGCGACGCTTCTGTTGGCGCGTGCAGGTAAATCAAATTCTATTCGAGTTTCACCTGTAGCACGAATGAAACAGTTATTTTATTCAACTTATGTAACAAAAATGTGCCTAATCATAGGTATCTTTGAGGAACAAGAGCAATATTTTAATCTCTCTATTTGCCCAAGACACCGCGATGCATTTGGTCTTAGATGGCGAAGCAACCGAAAATTATGTTCTTCTCCAAGTTCATGGGCTTTTCACAGAAAAGCCAATGTGAAGGGCGAGCGAGGGATTACACTGACACAGTCTCACCGCCTCTACATGGCCTGCAAAATCGTCATCCCTGTTGGCTCAAGTAAGTTAGTTGAAAGTGGAAATGGTGCCAGGCACACCCTGTCCATTTTCCCCTTTTGAACCTGAGGCCTCTAATTTTTTAAGGTTTAGACCATTTATTCACTTAGAATACTTGTTAGGTTGCTTTATATATTTAGTTTGATTTTAAAAAATAGTTTGTTTATAATTAAAAGGCTTATCATTAGGCCCACTGGCAAAAAGCCGCTGAGGATGTAAGTTTCGCGGACTATATTTCCCTAATAAAGTTCTGTGTATATTTTTTTGAGGCTTCAGTTGGATAAGCTAAAAAATGATTTTTCTTTCTTAGCGATTTGTACACAATGTCGCAAAAGACTTGACGAAATCAATGAAAGCATTGAAGGACAATCGGCATTAGAGCAGCTGTACCCATAATGAACAATCCGGAAGCCACTAAACTGGATGAGGTTAGGACAAGATTTATCCTTCATTTTCAAGTGGTAAAATTCTCAGAAAACGACAATAGTTACTTATCAATACCAAGAGAAAATTTAAAAAACAACGTTCAGATTTCAGGAAACCATACATGTATATCCAGTTGTGGTTATAGCACGGACTGATTTTTTCACATTGCATCCGCTCATGATTACTGCATATAACAGGTAATGGCCACCGTGAAAGAGAAAAAGAAAAAGTTTATGCAGAAACATTATTAAAATAAAGTCGATCGAGAAGAAGGTTAATAGAATTTCTATTGCTTTTTCCGCCTTTTTGTGCATGCCTTACACGTAAACTCGGCCCAGTCCTCGCTCACTTATCTTTTCTAGCCCCTGATGAATGATATAATATCCCAGGCAACACAGTAAAAATCGTGCTTGTTTGTCAAGATTTGTGCTGCGCGCTGTTATGACCAAAAGGCCTCTACGTTTTTATCATCTTATATTATTTTACTGACTTGTTACTGCAGTGTACCAAGTTTCATCGAAAAGATTCTTTTCCTGGGGAATTCATTAATGATGTCACTTAAAAGTCATTGTTCGTTTGACAAGTACTATCATTATTATTATTATTATCATTATCATTATATCAAGTGACTCTGTTACTGTCATTGTTTATCTCTGATTTAAGGCACAAGAAAAAACAAAGGGTATTTTCAAATCATAAGCAAGAGACTTACAGAAACTAGGACGTTGGAAGTGAAAACAGCTTTAGTTTTTTTGTTTTTGTTTTTGTTTTTACTGCGAGTCTCTTTTTTTTTTAAAGTAGTAAACCAACCCTTTTCTCAAAATTTCAGGGGACGGTGAACGATGAATTCACGGAATTATATACAGGAATAATGGAAATGTCATTGAAAGATGAAAGGTTATTCGTTCCTGACGAGGACAGTGTCAGTAGCAGTGACGAGGAATCGGAAGAGCCTAGTAACGAGTATATACGAAGAGAGCACCATAACAGATCTCTTGAAACTTGTAACGTCCAAAAATTAACTCAACCAAGGAAGAGATGGGCCGAGGCAGGTGCGCACACGCATAGCAACCACGTGAAAAGGCTAAAGACGTTATTGTAACGGCTTTAGATGTTATCACGCCTGGTGATGCGGCTCATTTATGGGATGCACTTCAGTCTTCAATGCTTGTCGACAAAGAGCTTGGATATGAAGGTAGTGCCGACTGCAAATATCTTGAAGCCTTGGCAGAAACATACAAAAATGCATCCGCCTGGGATACTAGAAGACAGGTCTTGTCCATAATGGCTGATCTGGTCCCCATCGAACGCCTTCAGAGGTATCTACCTGGTATCACTGAGTACCGAGTGAAAACTGCGCGACTGCAGAAACATGTTTATGGTCGAGGGAATCCACTTCCATCAAGGTATAGTCCCCGAATGAGAGTAGAGGCCACCCAGCTTGATCATTTTTTGACGTTTATAACAAGTCCGCACATCATACAAGATCTTCCATTTGGGCAAAAGTACATAAAGCTTTCAACTGGCGAAGTACTGGAGACACCAAACGTAATTCGAAGTATGATTCCAGAACGTATTGTTAAGCAGTACACTAAATACTGCGACGAATTCGGGTTCAAACCATTTGGACGTACAACAATGTTGGCTATCCTCGCAGCCTGTAGCGCCACCGTAAGAAAGTCGTTGCAGGGAATCGACTATATTGCCGCAGAAGGAGGCAAAGCTTGCGACGACCTATGCAATGTAGTGAAGCAACTAGAGGAATACGGGGTATTGAAGACAGATGTTTCTGAGCTGTGGAGAAGTTGTGTAAAGAGTGCAAAGCAATATATAAAGTCAGATTACAAGGTATTCGAGGCTAGTCTCATAATGGAACAAAACGAAAAAAATGTCAATTTCGATGTAATGTTCCTTATAAAATTCGGTGCGATAGCACAGCATGATAGAAAAAATAGACCTAATTGGATGTATTCAGTCCACATGACAATTTACCGTTGGTGTCAGTTTTGACTTTTTTGTCATGAAGCATACTTTTGCACTATTTTACCTTTGTCGTTTAAAATTATATCGTTTATTGCTTTTATTACAATTTTGTTACATAGGTGCACGTATCTCCCTCTTCGCCCGTGGCTGACCACTGTAGCGTATACGCTCTAAGCGATGACAAGGAACCCTTGTTCAGCCGCCCATGCGATCACGATCATGATAGGACGTGCCCCCAATGTGAAGAACTAACAGCCTTAGTGTCTGCCATTCAAGAATACTTAGAAAGAGAGGATCTGGGATTTCCAACTGCAGAGTTAGATGACTTACGCCATGTGGCCGATGAAGCAGCCCAAAACATTCTGTCTTGGAAGGCTCATCAGCTGAGAAGCAAAATTCAGGACATGGCCAGAGTAGACGCACTTGAACAACTAGACAATTCGTCTGTAATGATCACCCAAGACTGGGCCATGAAATTTTTGCCACAAAAATACCGCGAATCTCAGGCAGACTGGTTTGCCAAGAGAGGCATCTCATGGCACATAAGCGTGGTGGCAAGAAGACTTAATGGAAAACTTCAGAATCAGTCTTTCGTCCACATTGTTAAAAACTGTAACCAAGACAGCTCGGTAGTTATCCGCATCATGGAACACATACTGCGCACACTAAAAACGGAGAATCCTGAAATTTCTACAGCATTTTTTAGGCAGGATAACGCGGGATGTTACCATAATGCTACTATGCTTGCTGCATGCCGCTCTATGGGTGATGTCACTGGAATCGCTGTTTCTAGAGTAGACTTTAGTGATCCTCAAGGTGGCAAAGGCCCGTGCGATCGCAAAGCAGCCACCATCAAAGCTCATGTTCGTAGATTTGTTAATGAGGGACACGATGTCCAAACTCCAAAGGACCTTGAAACCGCGATGCTATCAGCTGAAGGAGTACCTGGGGTAAGAGTGACACTTGTCGATTCATTAGGTATCAAGGACAGCCCCATAAAATTGGATGGCATCAGCTTGATCAACAACCTACAGTATACTGGTGCGTCAATGCGAGTATGGCGATCCTACAACGTCGGCTGTGGAAAAATCATCGACAAACAGCTACCAACAGGTTGTTATAAATATTTTTTTTATAAGGAAAGATTAAAAATGCAGACTTAAAGTAAGGAAAAAAGCGACACGCGAACACATTAAAATACCTTTTTTTGTTCTCAGTTGCATTCTCTCGTGTGGCAAAAACTTTCCGTACAATAACGCGAGGACAGATATATTTTAACTCTTACCATCAACATAGCTGTTTTATAATTTCACAGTATGCGCAGACTTTTGCGGATACATTATCGTGCGCATCCCACAAGACACTTAGGACAACAACATAATCAGAGCGTGACAAAGTAAGATAAAGACTGTGAACCATTTGTCACAATGTTTTCTTTTTTGGTTTCAGCTACAAACAGCTTCTGTGGTAATTTTCAAGAGAAATTTTCAGCCGGCGACTTCTTGGATGTTGGTAAAGAAGGATGTCCAGCGTTACCTCTTGAGTCTTCTAAAAATCAAAACTTTGCTGAAGGGCCAGAGGAGGCAGAATTTGATCCAGGTCTTTTCCAATGTCCTAACGAAGGATGTGTTAAAAGTTATCAGAGTTTTTCAGCCCTTGAAAAGCATCTGTCTTTTGGAAAGTGTGAAATGCGTGTAGAAAGAGTCACCCTTCTTGACCAGGCGAGGCAAATGTACCACGCCAAGCTAACAGAAGGAACAAGCAAAGACGTGACAAGCCACTGTGCGGAAGCTTCTGTTCGAGAAAGCGTAGTAAATACCAGTCAAATTGTTAAAGGGTGGGCGTTAAAGCAAACGAAAAAATCTGGACGACTCAGCGAATCACAAAAGGGGTATCTTGACGAAAAGTTTAAAATCGGTCAGAAAACAGGTCACAAACAGGATCCAGCTTCCGTAGCTCACGACATGTGTTACGCCAGAACTGCTGAGGGTGAACGGCTTTTCACCCGTAGTGAATTTCTAACTGCGCAGCAAGTTCAATCGTACTTCTCTCGACAAGCAGGCAAACTGTGCAATCAATCCACCGAGGATGAGAGAAGAGATCATGACGCTGCTGCCGAGCAACAGCAGTACTGGGATACTCGAGAACAAATCCTTCGAGAGGTTCAAGTCCAACACCCCATCACCTATGACAATTTTGACCTTTGCGAAATGTATCACCCAAGTTCGCTAAACAAGTTCAGTGTCAACATGTTACAAAGTATTTGCCAATATTTCGGTATGGAACAACTAACTGTTCGTCGCAAGGCACCATACATCGCCCTTATTGGCGAATTGATCCAGTCATGTACCTGTCATAACAATAGTTACAAACTGACAAAGTAGGCTCTCTTGAGTTCGTCTTTGGTGTAAAAAATCGTGCTATAAGTGTTTGTTGCTAACAAAGCCTGTGTCTATCAGTTGATCAGAACTCAGGAAAATTTCATTTCTTCAGAAACCAGGAAGAAAACTATCTTTATTCCCTCGCTTGCTTTATTTCATAACAGTGCACAGCATGAAAAAACTTCTCCATGTGGAATGACGTGACCTCCATCCTCATTTGCATAATACACTAAAAACTGGTTGGCCTGTGGTAGTTTGACAGTTGTTTTGTTTTGCATTTGTCCAGTCCCGACAAGTTGAAGTGCAATGCACTCGAGCTATAGTTTCAAATTCTTCAATCATTTCCCTCTGAAGTCATTCCAAGGAATCTTCTGTGAAACTTTATTAAATCTGATACTGGAACGTATCAGTCTTAGGAGGGTAAGATCGGATTAAATATTGTTTAGGCATGCATTGATTCGCTCACTTCGCTGATTTTATCGGTCATGCAACAAACAGATGTTTTGCATCTTATTGGAATTTAAACCACATCATGGGCTTTTAACACTTAATACTTTAACATATCTCTCATCTATACATATTTCGGATCAATATAGTTTTAAAAAGGTTCAAAATAACCAAATAGCCAAAAGGTTTGCCGTCTACCGTAAACTGCAGTTGCTTGGATTCGGGTCAGAGGTCATACTTTTAAGTGTAATATTTACATTTTACCCTGCTTTGTCAAAGCTCGTGATTTCATTTACTCAAAAATTTTATTTCGCCAATTTGAAGAAAAAAGAATGCTCTTTCAGACTAGGCAAGACTTGTTAGTTAAAGCCATGTACCAATACGCTTTTTTTGCTCTTGAAAATGTGCTAAATTTTGACCGTTTGAAAATAGATGTTATCACGCCTGGTGATGCGGCTCATTTATGGGATGCACTTCAGTCTTCAATGCTTGTCGACAAAGAGCTTGGATATGAAGGTAGTGCCGACTGCAAATATCTTGAAGCCTTGGCAGAAACATACAAAAATGCATCCGCCTGGGATACTAGAAGACAAGTCTTGTCCATAATGGCTGATCTGGTCCCCATCGAACGCCTTCAGAGGTATCTACCTGGTATCACTGAGTACCGAGTGAAAACTGCGCGACTGCAGAAACATGTTTATGGTCGAGGGAATCCACTTCCATCAAGGTATAGTCCCCGAATGAGAGTAGAGGCCACCCAGCTTGATCATTTTTTGACGTTTATAACAGGTCCGCACATCATACAAGATCTTCCATTTGGGCAAAAGTACATAAAGCTTTCAACTGGCGAAGTACTGGAGATACCAAACGTAATTCGAAGTATGACTCCAGAACGTATTGTTAAGCAGTACACTAAATACTGCGATGAATTCGGGTTCAAACCATTTGGACGTACAACAATGTTGGCTATCCTCGCAGCCTGTAGCGCAAAGTTGTTGCAAGGAATCGACTATGTTGCCGCAGAAGGAGGCAAAGCTTGCGACGACCTATGTCATGTCGTGAAGCGACTAGAGAAATACGGGGTATTGAAGACAGATGTTTCTGAGCTGCGGAGAAGTTATGTAAAGAGTGCAAAGCAATATATAAAGTCAGATTACAAGGTATTCGAGGCTAGTCTCATAATGGAACAAAACAACAAAAACGTCAATTTTGATGTAATGTTCCTTATAAAATTCAGTGCGATAGCACAGTATGATAGAAAAAATAGACCTAATTGGATGTATTCAGTCCACACGACCATTTACCGTTGCTGTCAGTTTTGACTTTTTTGTCATGAAGCATACTTTTGCACTATTTTACCTTTGTCGTTTAAAATTATATCACTTATTGCTTTTATTACAATTTTGTTACATAGGTGCACGTATCTCCCTCTTCGCCCGTGGCTGACCACTGTAGCATATACGCTCTAAGCGATGACAAGGAACCCTTGTTCAGCAGCCCTTGCGATCACGATCATGATAGGACGTGCCCCCAATGTGAAGAACTAACAGCCTTAGTGTCTGCCATTCAAGAATACTTAGAAAGAGAGGATCTGGGATTTCCAACTGCAGAGTTAGATGACTTACGCCATGTGGCCGATGAAGCAGCCCAAAACATTCTGTCTTGGAAGGCTCATCAGCTGAGAAGCAAAATTCAGGACATGGCCAGAGTAGACGCACTTGAACAACTAGACAATTCGTCTGTAATGATCACCCAAGACTGGGCCATGAAATTTTTGCCACAAAAATACCGCGAATCTCAGGCAGACTGGTTTGCCAAGAGAGGCATCTCATGGCACATAAGCGTGGTGGCAAGAAGACTTAATGGAAAACTTCAGAATCAGTCTTTCGTCCACATTGTTAAAAACTGTAACCAAGACAGCTCGGTAGTTATCCGCATCATGGAACACATACTGCGCACACTAAAAACGGAGAATCCTGAAATTTCTACAGCATTTTTTAGGCAGGATAACGCGGGATGTTACCATAATGCTACTATGCTTGCTGCATGCCGCTCTATGGGTGATGTCACTGGAATCGCTGTTTCTAGAGTAGACTTTAGTGATCCTCAAGGTGGCAAAGGCCCGTGCGATCGCAAAGCAGCCACCATCAAAGCTCATGTTCGTAGATTTGTTAATGAGGGACACGATGTCCAAACTCCAAAGGACCTTGAAACCGCGATGCTATCAGCTGAAGGAGTACCTGGGGTAAGAGTGACACTTGTCGATTCATTAGGTATCAAGGACAGCCCCATAAAATTGGATGGCATCAGCTTGATCAACAACCTACAGTATACTGGTGCGTCAATGCGAGTATGGCGATCCTACAACGTCGGCTGTGGAAAAATCATCGACAAACAGCTACCAACAGGTTGTTATAAATATTTTTTTTATAAGGAAAGATTAAAAATGCAGACTTAAAGTAAGGAAAAAAGCGACACGCGAACACATTAAAATACCTTTTTTTGTTCTCAGTTGCATTCTCTCGTGTGGCAAAAACTTTCCGTACAATAACGCGAGGACAGATATATTTTAACTCTTACCATCAACATAGCTGTTTTATAATTTCACAGTATGCGCAGACTTTTGCGGATACATTATCGTGCGCATCCCACAAGACACTTAGGACAACAACATAATCAGAGCGTGACAAAGTAAGATAAAGACTGTGAACCATTTGTCACAATGTTTTCTTTTTTGGTTTCAGCTACAAACAGCTTCTGTGGTAATTTTCAAGAGAAATTTTCAGCCGGCGACTTCTTGGATGTTGGTAAAGAAGGATGTCCAGCGTTACCTCTTGAGTCTTCTAAAAATCAAAACTTTGCTGAAGGGCCAGAGGAGGCAGAATTTGATCCAGGTCTTTTCCAATGTCCTAACGAAGGATGTGTTAAAAGTTATCAGAGTTTTTCAGCCCTTGAAAAGCATCTGTCTTTTGGAAAGTGTGAAATGCGTGTAGAAAGAGTCACCCTTCTTGACCAGGCGAGGCAAATGTACCACGCCAAGCTAACAGAAGGAACAAGCAAAGACGTGACAAGCCACTGTGCGGAAGCTTCTGTTCGAGAAAGCGTAGTAAATACCAGTCAAATTGTTAAAGGGTGGGCGTTAAAGCAAACGAAAAAATCTAGACGACTCAGCGAATCACAAAAGGGGTATCTTGACGAAAAGTTTAAAATCGGTCAGAAAACAGGTCACAAACAGGATCCAGCTTCCGTAGCTCACGACATGCGTTACGCCAGAACTGCTGAGGGTGAACGGCTTTTCACCCGTAGTGAATTTCTAACTGCGCAGCAAGTTCAGTCGTACTTCTCTCGACAAGCAGGCAAACTGCGCAATCAATCCACCGAGGATGAGAGAAGAGATCATGACGCTGCTGCCGAGCAACAGCAGTACTGGAATACTCGAGAACAAATCCTTCGAGAGGTTCAACTCCAACACCCCATCACCTACGACAATTTTGACCTATGCGAAATGTATCACGCAAGTTCGCTAAACAAGTTCAGTGTCAACATGTTACAAAGTATTTGCCAATATTTCGGTATGGAACAACTAACTGTTCGTCGCAAGGCACCATACATTGCCCTTATTGGCGAATTGATCCAGTCATGTACCTGCAATAACAATAGTTAGAAACTGACAAAGTAGGCTCTCTTGAGTAGGTCTTTGGTGTAAAAAATCGCGCTATAAGTATTTGTTGCTAACAAACCCTGTGTCTATCAGTTGACCAGAACTCAGGAAAATTTCATTCCTTCAGAAACCAGGAAGAAAACTATCTTTATTTTTTATTTGTTAAAGGGAACAATCGCTCGCTTGCTTTATTTCATAACTGTGCACAGCATGAAATAACTTCTCCGTGTGGAATGACGTGACCTCCATCCTCATTTGCATAATACACTTAAAACTGGTTGGCCTGTGGTAGTTTGACAGTTGTTTTGTTTTGCAATTGTCCGGTCTCGACAAGTTGAAGTGCAATGCGCTCGAGCTATAGTTTCAAATTCTTCAATCATTCCCTCTGAAGTCATTCCAAGGAATCTTCTGTGAAGCTTTATTAAATCTGATACTGGAACGTATCAGTCTTAGGAGGGTAAGATCGGATTAAATATTGTTTAGGCATGCATTGATTCGCTCACTTCGCTGATTTTATCGGTCATGCAACGAACAGATGTTTTGCGTCTTATTGGAATTTAAACCACATCATGGGCTTTTAACACTTAATACTTAAACATATCTCTCATCTATACATATTTTGGATCAATATTGTTTTAAAAAGGTTCAAAATAACCAAATGGCGAAAAGGTTTGCCGCCTACCGTAATTCGCAGTTGCTTGGATTCGGGTCAGAGGTCATATTTTTAAGTGTAATATTTACATTTTACCCTGCTTTGTCAAAGCTCGTGATTTCATTTACCCAAAAATTTTATTTCGCCAATTTGAAGAAAAAAGAATGCTCTTTCAGACTAGGCAAGACTTGTTAGTTAAAGCCATGTACCAATACGCTTTTTTTGCTCTTGAAAATGTGCTAAATTTTGACCGTTTGAAAAGCGATTTTGAGTCAACAACCTTGAAAATTGGTTTAAAAATCTATTGTTGACTAAATCGCGATCTTATTAGTTCTAGTTATAGAGGAAATGAAGTAAAGATATGACAGGCAGTTATATTTTAATGACAAACTTTATTTTTAAATATACTAGCCACCGAAACTGGCTCTAATTTTTTCATAATTTTAGCCCATTTTAGTCCTCGGGAAGAAAAAATTCGTTAAAAAAATACCGTTCAATCAATCGTACCTAAACCAACGATTTTGTAACTAGGGCCCACAGGGCTTCATTCTGGCGGAGTTTGAGGGGAGGTCATTTTTTTACTATTTCCACTTGTAGTTGATAGTTATGCGAAGTCGCTCTTAAATACTCAATCAAAATATCACCACGAACGATGATAAAGCATTAGAAGCATGGTAGTTTTGAAAACGAAGCACTCAAGTCTTGACTCAAGTTTGTCTTGCATAATGCAAGCCAAACCAGGTGGAGGCAATAAAGCATCCGCACGTCCAAAGGTCCACCAATCCATCCCATTTCTTGCCTTCAGAGGTAGGGAGGTATTGATATTTATTGGTTGAGCCCATCTTTCCTGCCACCTTTTTGTCTACCTAAGCCTCGTTAAAGCACTTCACGAGCACTTGCTTTGATCATTGGTCTTACCATTCATTGGTGTTAGTGAAGTAATGTCACAAACCAGGTTTATTCAGATCTGGCGATATTTTCATCTTGCTGATAACAGCAGTGCAATACCAAGAGGGAGCCCTGGGTTTGACAAAATCTATCGAGTTAGAGAATTTCTCAATGTAATTTTGAGAAATGCTCAGAGGCTTTACAGACTGGACAGAGAAATTACCATTGACGAGACCATGGTCCCACATAAGGGGAGACTTTCATTCAAACAGTACATTAAAAATAAGCCCACCCGCTGGGGTGCTGTGAGGCCAAGACTGGCTATGTGTACAATTTTGATGTTTATCTTGGCAAAGAAGAAGGGAACGTTGAGCATAATTTAGCTCGATGGGTAGTGAGGAAGCTGGTATCATCAATTGAAAAAAAGTGTCACCATCTCTACATGGACAATTTCTACTGTAATCCACATCTCTTCTTAGAGCTGGAAACAAAGGAGATTCTTGCTTGTGGAACAATTAGGGCAAATCGAAAGGGTTTCGCTAAAGATATTGTGCTTACTCGAGCCATGGAAAGGAGAATGAATCGTGGAGATTATATATGGAGAAGTCATGGACGCTTGGTTGCCATGGCATGGTTTGATAAGCGGGCTGTTTATTTGATCTCTACTATCCATCCTCCTGAAAGTACTGGTGAACAAGCTGTGGTTCAACGACGTGGTGCTGAAGGGGCTCGTGAACCTGTACCCTGCCCACCAGCACAATCTGCGTATCAAGAATATATGGGTGGAGTTGACCTAGCTGATCAGATTTTGCAAAGTTTCAGCGTTATTAGAAAATCAAACAAGGCATGGAAAAAACTCTTTTGTTATTTTCAAGAAAGTAAAGCCAGACCCAGATGACTTCCTATGTTACAGGATTGCTGTTGTCCAGCACCTGTTGGAGGGCAAATGCTTTCGTGGTCTACCTGGCCGGGTACCAACAAGACCCCTTTCTGCTGTGGAGACCAGGAGACTCAACAGGCAGTATCACTCTATTGCTGTTGAGGAGAGAAGAAGAGATTGTGTTGTGTGTGCTAAAGTTGTTTCAGTCCAACACTTGAGCAAGAACCTTCGAAACAAGACGAACATTGTTTGTGTCACTTGTGATCGAAAACCCTTGTGCCTTCATTCCAAGCGGAATTGCTGGGAAAAGTGGCATTCTTTAGTGGAGTACTGGAGATAGTCTTGACTACATTGAAATTATATTTTTTTGACAAAAAGGGAGTCCCAGAGATGGGAACTTTTAGTTTTTGGTGCGTTCGGGCATCTAAGTTTTTTTTATCAGAGATCAGTTTTCTGTATAAAGTCCCCCTTGCTAGGCTTTAGGATGGCCTCTTTTTTCTTTTGAGATAATTTTTTATCTGTTTTGCATTTATTTGTAAGGAAGTTTTATGTTCTGGGGAAAAAACAGTTCCTAATTGTGGCACTTTACTGAACTTCTGTAATTTACCAGATTGTACCTTGCCGCAGAAAAGTTAGTGTAACTTTTGATCCAAAAATGATAATTAGATAGGGTAAAAAGCATTTGAATCTTGAAATGCTGTTCATCATCATAAATAACCTCAATTTGGGCTCTGGTGACAGAGGAGTGATTTTTTGAAGTAACAAAAATAATATAATTTTTTTGTATCTTGTTGCCTAAAATTTCAAATAATTGGGAGGGGGTGGTTCTAATGCAACAACATTCCCAACAGATACCTCCTGAAAGTATTTTTTCTCCTGAATAAATTGATATATAGTTTATGGGGTGGTAAACTGCTTCGTAACAGAGCTGTTGGGCATTATTTAGGTTCCGGTCAAAGTTCATACTTAAGTCTTCAGGAAACTGCTACCGAAAGGGTTAAAAGACTCAGGTATGGCAGTGATGTGTTTCTGCATAAGTATATAGTGGCTCATCATTATTCTTTTTTTTTTTACTCACTTTGTTTTACCTATGACTACGGAAGCTTTGAAGGGACATCTATAAATTTTTTGAGTTCGAGTTCAAGTTGTTGAGTGCGAGTTCGACTTTGAGTTGTTGAGTACGAGTTCGAGTTGTTAAGTACGAGTTCGAGTTGAATCAGCAGTATCAAAGCAAAAGTATCGCGGGAGCAAAATCTGTCTCCAAAATGGCGGAAATGGAGATCAACAACGGTAAAGAAGAGGTAATTTTTAAGAGCCATTTACTCCTCAAGATGTAATCTTATGTTCATATACATTGTAAACTATTGCAATATACCGCTTTAATCACCTCATGGCCGATATCTTAAGGTGGAAAAGGTCGCAGCGTTTCTCAAAAGTATCGGAGTAAAAAAGGATGTTTTGCAGACGTTTCAACGTAAGAAGGTGAGAGTAGTAAATACATTTTTTTTCATTGATAGAAGGTTGAACGTTTTATTTTTCCATTTACTCTCCGACTGGTTAAAGGTTTATTGATAAGCTTCAGTGACAATATTAAAATCAAAGCTGTCCGACGTTTCATTATCAAGGCAAAGTGACTCTTTATAAAACAATACACTAAATAGACATTTGTACTGCTTTAACTGTACTCACGAGATGATATAAATCATCCAAGATCTTAAACCAACTTTGAACGTGCAATCTGACTCCATGCGCAGTAATTTATCTACATAATGACAAAAGAAGAGAAATGTTTATTGTACTGTGCCATTTATATTAAAAACTATAAAGAAACAGTGAATGGTAGCATAATCGAAAAGTCGGATAGCAGTAATTTTAACATTCTGTCTGCGATTATACATGTTATAATCGCAATTTTATTGCACCCTTTATTTCAAGCAAGTGCTATTTAATTCTGCAGAATGTTTTTGTCTGTGCTCGACTCCAGACTCTAGAAATTGGGGCCATGTCTGGAGCCTGTTCAAGTTCCTGTTAATACAATCACAAGGCATCTTGCGAATAGCAGTAATTCACTTGTAAACAGTGTAGCAGTTGGTACATTAGTGTAAACAAACACATATTTCACCCTTGTTACTTTTTTTACTTAGTGACCAACAGTGCGATTTCCTGAAGGTTTTGTATTTTCCTACTTTATTTTAATAACATGCTCGGTCTTGAAGATGACCTTTGCGTTTACAACTCACGAAAAAATTTTGCATCATGGATAAGCTCAGAGATATATATGCTCGGAAATATAATCCAAATCACGTGCATGCGTTACAGTTCGTTATTATTGGAAATACCATAATGCAAACACTATAGAAGGCATTCGCAGTATTGTCTACAGGACCTACTATAGGACCTAAACTTTGTGAGAACAAGTTCTTTGCTCCACAAGTGTGGAAACAGGCTTTTACCTTCACATATATAAATATATCGACATATATAATATAAATATGACATTTATAATCTGGAGGGTTCGTTATATCGAAAACTTCGTTGTAACGAATTTGTAGAAAAACAACCAAAATGTTCGCTATATCGAGGCATAGTTAATAACTGTTTTTTAACGGTGTTACGTTGCACTACCAAAAACTAACATTTGTTTCTTAATGTCTGTATGAAATTGTTCTCTCACCCCTCTTGTTGGTGGATTAAAGGATTTTCATCTCTGTTGGTCTGTTCTGCATTCATCTTTTGTCGCGTGTTGACATGTATTCGTTATATTGTGGTTGGTTTTACTTCCGAATTGTGTTCGTTATATCGAGGATTTCGTTCTATCAAGGTTTTGTTTGGCCGGGCTGTACTTCTCTGAATTATTGGATGACTGAGTGACTCAGGCGATCGGCGCTAAGTGTTAGTGGAACAGAGGGTAACGCGATCAAATTCCGCTGCAGGCGATAAATAGCTTTCCTTGCTTCTTTGTTTCCTCTTCTGGCCGAAAGAGCACTACTGGACGTCTCGATGGACATGACAAAACAAAAAACGGGTATTACGAGAAGCGCCTCGTCGCCTAGTGACGGCCGCTTAATAACAACAGGTATATACGGATTATTGAACTTGAAACTAAAGACTCAACATATCCCACGTTGGCTGTTATATTTTTGTCAGCGATAAGCAAGATAAACTAAATAGTTGTAAATCTTCCCACCACAAATTGTGTCGCGCTGCCGACTGAGTTAAAAGCATCCTCAGAACCATAGAGGTCAGAGAGCATTTGACCCACCTGTCATTATACTACCTTGTTTTAAACGTAACATTTCCTACCAACTTTCAGATTGACAAAGACGCTGTGAATGCCATGGAAGAAAAAGACCTTGTAGAACTCGGCTTGCTTGCCAAGGGTGATAGGATTAAACTTAAGTCATTTTGCAAAAAAGGCATCTCTTCTTACAGAGAAGAAAAGATAGCAAGAATAAAACAAATTCTTGGACAAGGTAAAGGAAAGAAGCTTGGAGATCCAACTTTTAGTGCAGCTGTCGGTTCCACGTCATCCGGAAAATCGGCAAGAACATCTAGCCTCAAGTACGAGGTCGGCTGGAAGCACTGGAAACATGGCCGTGGTTATTTGCAGATGAAAAAAAATACTGGTGGTGGTACTCGTACAGTTCATATACCTTGCAACACTTCCCTCGAAGAGTGCCAAACCATCGCAGAAGGTCTGTTTTTCCCGGAAGGCAAGAGTCCAGTTAATGAATTGGAGAAAATGATCACTGCAATGGGCAATTTCAGTGGTGATTGTATTGTTTTAATGAGGGAAGATGGCAAGCCATTTCAATTTTCGCCCGAGCGGTACAAAGAGATGACAGGCTTAACAGTTCCATGCTTGCACCTATTAACGAAAAACGAAGATGATACGGATGGTGATGAGGATGAATCATTCCCATCAGCCTTTGGCTATCAGGATCCATCATTTGGTACGAAAAGAGCCTCAAGCCCTTCCTTTCCAAACGAAGACGGGCTCATTGGTACATCAAGTGAGCGCCAACAGTTTTTTGATGACCTGGATCAGGAATTGAGAGCTTCCCTTACGGCCGATAAAGCGAAAGTAAAGAGTACAGACAAACAACAGTTGATTTCTGAGCCCACCAATGACGAAACGGATTCCCCTGAAAGGCTTCGTCAAGTTCGTGAGCAGCGTTCTCCGCCAGAACCTAACAGCACCGAACCAAAAGTAAAAGTGTCTGTACGACATAGTACGTTGGGTGTGGTCAGCAGAGTGTTTGACCCGGAAGGAAGCATGCAAGGCGTTTATGATTGGATTGGTTCCCTCTCCAAAACACCTGAACATTTTCTTTTAGTTACCATCAACAACGCTATACCCAGATGAGAAGGTTGTCAAGGTGAAAGACACAGTCATTACCATGACTGAAACGACGGAACCTGTGCCGCTTTCTAAGGATGAGGAGGACGTTTATTTCCAAGATGGCTGGGGTTTGGAACATGGGCACGACGACACCGTCTGGGACGAAGACGAATTTTGTTCTCCTCAGTCTCCAAGACAGCAAGGATTACCAGTTATTGCCACTCACTCCACCAACGAGATTGATCCAGTAAACATCAACCCTCCTGTGCATCTTCTAGCAGATGAAGACAACCCAAAGTCTGACAACAAGCTGTCACTTGAAGAAAAGGATCAGCTACAGGAATCCAAATTACAACCGGCCAAAATAGTTATAATAGATCGCCATGATGCAGTTAATGAGTTATTGGCCTTATACAACGACAAGGACATCTTGGATTGTAAATTATCGGTGTCCTTCGCAGGCGAAAATGCTCTTGGGGATGGAGCGTTAAGAGAAGTATATTCTGTCTTCTGGGACAGCTTTGTTGCAAGATTTTGCGAAGGCAGCAGGCAGTTTGCAGTAATACCTAATCCGTCATTGTCAGATGAGAATTACCAAGCCCTCGGAAGAATTATTACACACCAGTTAGTACTTACAGGTACTTTTCCTATACAGCTGGCAGAGGTACAGGTTTTGCATGCCTTATTTGGTCAAGTCAGCGACGACCGCCTTGTTAACTCATTCTTGCAAATTTTGCCGGAGAGAGAAAGGCAGATTCTGTCGAAAGCCATGGACGGAAAAGATCCTTTTCCCACCAACGAGATTGTCGATATCCTCAGTGAGTTCAACTCAAGTTCTGTTCCAAGTAGAAGCAATCTTCAAAAAATATTGAAGCAGGTCTCCTTGTCAGAATTAATCCACAAGCCTTTCTTTATTCTGTCCAAGATGAGGCGAGGGATGGGCAATTTCTGGAATGATGTTGCAAAAGATGAAATCGAGGAACTGTACCGTAAAGCCTCCCCAGACCCCAAAAATGTCGTTAAATGTCTCGACTTTAACGTGCAAGACAAGAAAGAGGAACAAGTTAGCGGATGGCTGGTACGATTTCTGAAGGGAGCAAATCCAAAGCTACTCGGCCAATTTTTGAGGTTCTGTACAGGAACTGACATTTTATTGCCAGGAAAGCGAATACAAGTCCGTTTTGAGAGTATGTCTGAATTGGCCATGAGGCCCAAATCGAAAACATGCTTTTGCTCACTGATGTTGTCAAAAAATTACAACAGTGTTACCCATTTTTCCTCAAACCTCGAATTCTACTTGTCCAACACGTCGTTCTGGGATCTAAGGGATTAAGTCTGTCTTGTGTATTAAGCCATTGTTGTGTTCGTGCAGAAACTCTTCGTTTCACAAGTTTTAACAGAATACTGACCTTTGTCTGAATTGAATTTTTGACAGAGCTGTGAGACAATTAGCTAAGGATTTGGAATTCTAGCTTTGCAATATGTTTATTCTCGTTTATGTTAACGTAAGGTCTGGAGCTAAACACTTTCATCGAAGCATATTTTAAGAGTGAAACTGCAATATGTTAAGTTGAGTTTTACAATCAAGTTCAGAAAGTTCGAGTTTGATCTGAGATCGATAATAGAACATACCAAAGACTCACAGACAGGAAATCAAATTTCAGATTATCTGTTAAAGCTATTATGTTACGCACTTTGCAACGAGTGCAACGTTTGGTTGATGTTGTAACACCTTTTTTCTACTCTAAAAATTTATTAAATTACTCTGAAATTTTGTATCTACTTCGTAATCCATATCTATGCTAATTTTCAGGACTTGAATCCTTTTATGATATGGTCACATTACCGGTTTCAGTGCTGGTAAAAAAAATGATTCGGTTCAAGAGGGCAACAATCTTTGCTGAAATTTGTAAATGAGGGTCCCATAGGGAGGGGGAGGGATCTGAAGAAAGAGGATAACACCCCCTGGGTGCCCGAAAAAACATGATAACCAACAAGTGAGGGTCAACCCGCTTATGTCGCGGAGGTCGATTGGGTAAAGTAATACCAGGGGTCTCACCACTACCTATCCCAGTATCAATTTTAACGTAGCTAATTACCATTTTTGAGAGGCCAACCACCATCTTAAATTAAGGGCCTGCTTCAAGTAATAACAATAGCTTGAATCAATATTTTAAAGAAGTATATTTCATTGACAGCGTCGCTGCTATAGCAACGAAATGATAACCTCAACCCTTGAAAACAACCTCATTCTCTTTATATCTTAAGGCGTTATGAAACAACAATTTTTTGTTTGGTTAAAAGAAAAGTGTACACAGACTGCAAAAATGGTTTGTCAGCCAGCTCTACCCGTGTCACACCCTCTCGGACCTGAAGGTCGGCCAGGGCCTCACAATTGCTCTGATTTCTTTCGTTTGAGACTGATCTGCAGAAATCACAACCAAGAAACTTATCAGCTATCTGTTGTTTCGGTAACTCGTAAGTGTTGAAAACGGAAATGCTTTTTTTAAAATGTTCACTGAGTTATAGAAAAGTAACTCTGAATCAATTTTGAATAATGAACTCCAACACAAACAGCTAAACCAAAAAACCAATTTGGACTTGCAGTGGAAAATGATTTTTGACCAAGATCCTTAAACAAGCCAAGAAAGTAATATACTCAGCGTTCCCGAATGCAATGACAAAAATAGCCGGTGTGCACGCGTTCTCGCAAAACTATCCGTATGTGCTCTCTCATATGTTCATGTGTTGAGGTGTAGCACCCCATGTCCATTTTTACAATGCTACAAAATGGACTGAAGCTCCGTAAATAACGTGAGAAATAGCTGTTCTGCTTCATCAGCATTGTTAGGTATTGAAAGATTATTATCTTCCATTAGAAGAAGCATGAGATCTGAAAATTCCTCCTGGCAACCAAATGGTGGACATTCCTTGCAGAAGTACTCCTCCGCTGTCTGCAAATCATCTTTATCCACGTAAGTTTTGTAATCTTGAGAATCTGAAAGACAATACAATTATCGTCCTGTCAAAAATGGAACTAACCAAGAAAGCAGTGATTCCAAAAAAACAGCCTGGCTTTCTATTTTCGATGATGTTTCAATCAATATAATCGTCTCAACTGCCGCTAAGTGTAAAATAGTTACAAAAAAAATTAAAGTCAGCAAAACCTCCTATAAACACCAACTCACCTGTAATTTCGGGAAGAAAGAACAACATATCTGGCTTGCCAGCTGGAGTGTCCTGATTTGGATAAGGTCTGATCCTATGTGTATTCCACAGACAAGCAACTTCGCACAGCTCCNAATGCTTTTTTTAAAATGTTCACTGAGTTATAGAAAAGTAACTCTGAATCAATTTTGAATAATGAACTCCAACACAAACAGCTAAACCAAAAAACCAATTTGGACTTGCAGTGGAAAATGATTTTTGACCAAGATCCTTAAACAAGCCAAGAAAGTAATATACTCAGCGTTCCCGAATGCAATGACAAAAATAGCCGGTGTGCACGCGTTCTCGCAAAACTATCCGTATGTGCTCTCTCATATGTTCATGTGTTGAGGTGTAGCACCCCATGTCCATTTTTACAATGCTACAAAATGGACTGAAGCTCCGTAAATAACGTGAGAAATAGCTGTTCTGCTTCATCAGCATTGTTAGGTATTGAAAGATTATTATCTTCCATTAGAAGAAGCATGAGATCTGAAAATTCCTCCTGGCAACCAAATGGTGGACATTCCTTGCAGAAGTACTCCTCCGCTGTCTGCAAATCATCTTTATCCACGTAAGTTTTGTAATCTTGAGAATCTGAAAGACAATACAATTATCGTCCTGTCAAAAATGGAACTAACCAAGAAAGCAGTGATTCCAAAAAAACAGCCTGGCTTTCTATTTTCGATGATGTTTCAATCAATATAATCGTCTCAACTGCCGCTAAGTGTAAAATAGTTACAAAAAAAATTAAAGTCAGCAAAACCTCCTATAAACACCAACTCACCTGTAATTTCGGGAAGAAAGAACAACATATCTGGCTTGCCAGCTGGAGTGTCCTGATTTGGATAAGGTCTGATCCTATGTGTATTCCACAGACAAGCAACTTCGCACAGCTCCCTCTGTAGAAGCGTTGTGTAACAGAACTGAAGACAAGCCCTAAAAGAAAACTGAATTTTCATGATTTTCTAGTATATGATAAAAGAGTTATCAAGGCAACTGGATGATGGAATATGTCATTATTTGTTTTCTTTAGCCCAAGGCTGTTGTTTTCCATGTTACTCTAACAATATATGTCTAGCTTGCAAGAGAAAGAAATTCTTCCCTTTAAAACCTGGGGTACATTGTAGGCCAAAGAAAATATGTACGTCGCTAGTTATTTCAATCATGGGGAAAGCTAACTTATTCTCAACGCATGATTTACAGTACATAACGTTTTTATTTTTAAAGGCACCAGCTGTGGGAAATGTTTCACAGGGTGACTGTGAATTCTCAAACATTTCTTTCGAGACTCAGAATACTAAATGAATAATACTTACTGTTGTACGGGGTCGTCATCTCTTAAAACGCCGGCATCGCGTAAATCCTGGAGACGGCAATGCAATAACACTTTAAGATTGGAGACTGATTATAAGGATTTAATGTACGACTCCCAAACAGGATTAAAACTTTAAATTTATGTAAAGAAATGTTAGTTTTTGTTGGAGATCCATTCAGTGCCATTGGGCGAGAATGTTTTCAAACCATAAAGCACCAACCTTAAAGTAATTTATCCACCAGTCTGCCTGGGACTTCCTCAGAAACGACCACCAAGCCTCTATTCTCTGTCAGGGAAGACATTTAGTAATTCACCGTGACATAAGAAGTTTATTTGTAAAGTCAAGCGACAAAAGTAGCGTTTCCCACCTGATTTGCTGACGACTTTCCGTAAAGGAAACTTTTATCGCCTGAAGTCGTCAGTAAGTCGTAAGTCGTCAGTCGTCAAAAGTCGTCAGTAGCCTCAGAACGGAAAAACCTTTGAAGGCCAGCAACAATGACATTCTCTGTTCCGCAGTCAGCCCTTCCAATACGTGGAGCTCCTGAATACCAAAAATGCATATCTGACTGGATTTGCCAAAACAGGCCTCTAAAGATTTCTCTGAACTCCCATCACCTACACTCGTTTACTACGTTCCTTGTTTTACTTTTTGCTTTGAAAATCCCCGTAAAAACGTCTCAGTAGACTTACAGTCTTTCTCTTCTCTCCCCCCTCCTTCCCCCCCACCCTCAACCCAACCCTCTAGTTCACCCCTTCGTGACCCTACCCATAATTCTTTATGTGTGACTGGTGACAGTTATATTCAATGATCGCACGCTGGAAGTGGACTTCCGTGCTGTTTGTTATTGTTTTTCGTTTTCTTTTGGCTGCCTGGAGCAAAGTTTTCCTGAGGACATCATTAAGTCCAAGGAGGGAACAAAGCTTGCGATTTGCACAGTGTGCTTCGTCAAATATCTTACCGTATTCTCGGCGTTTGTTTCAGGCTACACGGTCAACTGGAACCAGGCTGAACGAGAAAGATAAGATATTGGGCGCTTTGTTCAAGGCGGCTAACAAGTCTTTGGCGTCAGAAAGTAGTTCTTAGGAGTCATCTCTACTCAGAGAGAGCGAAATTGGTGGTAGATTTTGAGCCGGCCAAAGACTTAGTATAAAAATGGATTTGACAGTGACTCTATGTCTTTCCCGTTCACGTGACTCTTTTCATCCGGGAACTTGATTTAAATGTCTGTGAAGATCAGTGTTTACACGTGTTTATGTGGCGAAAAGCGTAAAATGTCCGTGTCTTTTGAAGATATTTGGCTTCTGTTAAATGTGCATGGGCTTTGCGTTGTTTTCCGGAGATTTATCAGTGCAGCGGAAGTATTTTATTGTGTAATTTCCGGCATAGCGATGACAACCATTTGCCAGGTATGTGACTCGCAAGTTTTGTAAAATATTCTATCCCAGGCATTTTCGATGTTTAGTTTAGTCAATCTTGCCTTAGGAAACCATTTCTCGGCCCAACTGAGGAAAGAGGATTTGGTCTGTCTTCGGCGGACATTTAAGGTATGAACCTTAGATTTTCAGAGATCAAAAGGTCACCTTGTCTGTACAACAACTTTGAGAATATAATGTTCTCAATTTCATGGCTTATACAGTCAGAGCAACTTGACGTGTGTTCCCAGTATAAAAATTATCATTTAAGCCATAACAAGGGACTTTTAACTGCTTTTTTTTTTCAACTTTTGAGTAACACCGTCGAAACACACCTGAAATTTCTAGAGGCACGTTTTAACAAATCCAGTCAGATATACACCAAATTCATAATGGCGGACGGCTTGGGTAAGCCTCGGTACGAGTACATGAAAACGAGGCGGGTGAGGATAGGATTGTAATTCCAATATGGCGGCACCTCAAGTAAACACGTTTACAGCTCCACTTCTACTAACGGAAAATGATATTCCTGGAGCTAGTCTTGAGGGAAGGAAACCAGCAGAGTTGAAAAAAGCTGATCTATTGTTTTGGCTACGATGTAGGGGTGATTCGTGTAAAGGCCTGAACGTAAAAGCACAGCTCATAAAGCGGTATGTTTCTATCGAATAATTCTCCAACGTACGCCTATTGTAAACATTGAATGTTCTGTTATTTCCCGCTTGAATGCAGATTCTAAGAACCAAAATTTCATTTGCTCTGGAAAAACATATCATCATATATTAATAGTAGCGAATTAAACTGAAATTATTTGAATGCTGTGTTTTGTTGTATCTTTATCTTATAGAGTTGAGGAGTATATTGCAAGTGGCAGAGACCAACTTATAGTTGACCCTGATCCAAATAAGATTTATACGAAACGAAAAGCCAGGGAATGCTCTATTTCGCTTCCCGATTCTTCATCCCAGAATAAGGCTAGTGCCGGAGTAAAATACCCATCTACTGGTTGGGGGAAAGCTCTAGAGAAGTTGCCATTGTTTACAAAAGCTGAAATGAAAAAGCATATAGAAAATTCAGGTAAAAAGATGGGAAGTGTGGAACACCATTCTGTTCCCACAAGTTTGAAACGTGCCAAGACCTTTCTTCAAGATGAATATTTAAAGGATATTGAGGCAAATGATGATGAACATTATTTCTATTTTAAATGCAAGTGCTATCACAGCTATAAGAAACACGATGCTCCTCATACTATTCAGGTTGCCCTTTGCATTATATCTGGACAAGTGATGGATGCGACTTGCACATGTGCTGCTGGGAAAGTTGGTTATTGTAACCACACACTTGCTCTCATGTTGAAAATTTGCAAATACTCATTGTTCGAGAGCAAAACAACTGAAGACTTAAGGGATGAATTAGATGAAAATCCAACTTTGGCATGTACCTCAAAGTTACAAAGTTGGCATAAAAAAGGTCGAGGTGATTCAATTCATCCGCAGCCAGTGATGGATTTAGTTGTCTCTAAAATTAAGCCCGACGATGAGAAGTCTGACAAGGCTGTTGCCTGTCAACTCTATGAGGCCCGCAAAATAACAAAGCATGATATTTTAGAGGAAGAGAGTTTTAAAAAAGCCATTGCAGCAATCAATCCTAAAATGGGTATTGCTACCCTTGCTTCAAATACACCCAGTGAAATGGTGCAGACCAAATATGGAAACAGCCCCGCTGGGTCTACAAACAGTTATCAGTTATCTTATTCTGAGGCCAACTTTCCTGTGTATACTGATATAAGTACTGTTGCAAGAAGTCCTGATTCAAATGCCAATATAAACAGCTACCCAAGATTCCCCCTTAAAGACAATGAACCTAGCTCTTATCCAGACTCTCTCACTGAAGAGGAGAGAATGTTTCTATCTTCACTTGAGGTTGATGAAGATGAACTTAAAAAAATGGAAGTAGAAACAAGAGAGCAGGTAGGCAGTGAGAGATAGAGGGAAGAGAGAAAATTTAGGTTCACAGCCTCAAGGAAGGCAAAGAAATCATGACTCTTTTTGTAAAGAACTTATGCACCCCAAGGTGTTTACAAGTAGACACACTGAACATGGAAGAAAGTATGAGGCAACTGCCATTCATAAATACCAAAAATTCATGAATGCAAGAGAAACACCAGTGGTGGTGCTCAAGTGTGGACTTGTAATTTCAAGTGAAATGCCAGTCTTTGCAGCTACCCCTGATGGGAAAGTCATTGACTTTGGCTGCAGTCAGCCTTTTGGAATTTTGGAAGTCAAATGCCCATCAAGCAAAGCTGCCGTCACCCCACTAGATGCCTGTGCCGATCCCAAATTTTTCTGTCAACGAGTAGGTGACCAGTGTCCATCTATTGGACACTACCTCTGAATCTAAAACCCCTAAAACAATTCTTGTAGTTTCCCTGGTAAGATAAATGAGCGTTTAATTCACGACTTTTGAATTGAAATGTAGTGCCTATTTAAGTCATAATTAATAAGCATCATTTCCATCGGGTAACGTTCATAGTGAAATAACAATTATTGCAGTTGTCATTCGGGTTTCCTTTGTAAATTCCAAATTAAAGTTTCAGATATTGTGGAATCTCGTAACTTCTTTCTTGTTGTCTCTAATTAAACGGGTGGCTTGCATGGGGTCACTTCTGCATGTATACCCCTGTTCTCTGTAGATACACGTCACAAGTCGATTCTAGTATGAATAAGTTGTGTGTTCTCAGCTAGTGAGAATCAGTGGATAATACTGTAACAACGTTCATATTCTAAAGGAGTAGAAGGTGGTGGGAGCTTGGGGTTTCTCTTGGCTAAGCGGTGATTATACGTATTTTCATGGTACCTGCTGACAACAAGTCTGTGAACATCCCTTAGCCTCTGGTGCATTTGTCTGTAGCCAACACAGCTACCACTACCGGCTAGTTCTTCCTGTGGACGTCAAGAGATGACACAGATTGTGGATCAAACAGTTGTTGCCATTGCCATGTCCCTCCCACATGTCTCATTTAATTAACTCGGCAAAAACAAGTTCAAAAAAGTATATCCTAGTACTTCAGTTGTCATTAGTAGCAAAAGCAAATCAAAGAAAACAGGGAAAAAGTCTCAAAACAGCCAGAAAAAATGCTATGCCAACTTCCATTTGAGTTCTTATGCTGCAGCCCACCTAACTAAGAAATTTGTAGTCAAGGTACCAACTTTGAACCTCAAAAATCAGATTTTTGGTACATAATATTTCCATGGATTGGATAACGTTTTAGTAATAAAATTATCTCTCTTACTTGGTAAATATTTTACATTACTTTGTAGTAAACTGTCAAGGAATTTCTGTTTAGAAAACCAAACAATAAAATTTAGGATCACAATTAAGTCATAAATATGTAAACAAGAGGGTTCAAGTGTTTAAACTTGCATTTTTGGTACCCCTGTTGAAAAAATTTACTATTGAAAAGTTAACAGTATAAGCAACTATCTTGTGGGTTGTCGATGCACTTTGGTAGGCTAACGGATGTTCAACTAAGTTGTCAATTAGTAAGTTATTAACTATGAAAACCAACTTTTTACCTTCTACAGAATTGTTCTGAATGGAGTGAAATTGTCCTCATTATAAAAGATGAACACTTCTCAGAAGATGAGGAACATCGTATTGACATTTTTGTTGTAAGGGGTTGTACCATCTGTTGTCACCATTGTAAAGTTTAACTTGAAGTTCTATTTTCTATTGAAACCAGTTTCAAAACTTTTTAAACTTTGTGGGGCTATGTTATTATTAGCTTGCGTCATAGTCATTTTATTTCTCAAAGAGGAAAAAAAATCATTTTTTAGTTTTTCTTCTTCTGGAGATGTTTGGAAGATCCCTTGGTACAGGAGACTATGGCCACTTGACAATAGAACATGTGCCAATGCTATTCCGTATCCACAGATTGTTGCACCAACTTTCCAATCAAGGGTTTGAGGCTGCTCATAAACTTCAGAGGCAGCTTTATGAGAAAGCAACATCTCATGATGCAACGGACCAAACTGCCTCATGTAAGTATTGTAATTTTCACTTCTATATGATAATGCTCCATTTGTTTTGTTTATTTCTTTGCCATATTTACAATAGTTAAGAGACTCCGCTTTCTATAATCTTAGCTGATTTTAGCTTTTTCTTGCATCTAACCAAAATTTTGAGTATGAAAAATAGGGAAAATAATAATTTATTGTTAATTTTTTAAGTGTGATTTAATCATGATCAATTAAGCTGCTAGTTGAGCCTCCTTTGAGTGAACTTAGAAGTTTTGCTTGCAATCTAGGCATCAACAGTTTTATGTCTGTCAAACATACATCTACCTGTATATTTAATTCGCAAGTCCAAGTAGTTCCTCACTAAAACATTTGCCAGAATACAGTAATAGCCCGCATATAAGAACCTGGGTTTTAAGAACCTGTTAGGCTAAAATTTTCATTTTAAGCCCCTCCAAATAAGAACCTATTTCGGCTAAAATTTTAAGTTAGGTTCTTATCAGTGGGGTTGCTGTAAAAGTGTATAGGTGGAAACTGCTGAATTAAGATCATCATCTATTTAAAAGTAACTTGACATAATTTTTTTTCTTTTCATGCTTAAGTACCATGCTGTATGTCTATTGTGTTTGCCATTCAAATAATTCCCCAAGTATTTGCAAGTAGTGTACTCTACTACAGTATCAAAGAAAGCTTTCTGACCATCTCCAACTCTGTGAAAATCATAAAATATTAAATGTAAAATATCAAAATATATCCCAATGAAATAAATAATTGCAAAATATCAAAACAACGAAAGCTGCCAATGGGCAATGCCTCAGCTTCTCAAGTCAATGTGAGGTCTTTTAAAGTGATAGATCCTTTAGATACAGCATATCAATATTTGTTTCTGCTTGTGGCAAAAATGACACAATGGACTGGGGAGGCATGGAGAAAGCTCTCCTCCGACAAGATGTTTGCAAAGAAACTGTTCATGAAGACTGGTTGCCTGATGACAGCTGATGTCTCGGATGATGATATGATCAAACCTCAGGGGCTAGAGCTATACAGTTTTTAATTTATTTTTGTTTTTCATATCTCCTCATTGCTTGAGCTTGTTATGAATTTGGTATCACATGAGTTTCTTTGTTATGTTTTGTTAAGGACATATGCTGTACTTGCACTGAACTGCCTATAGGCATTGCTCTATGGTACAAATAAATGATTTATACTGTATTGTGAGATGATATTTATAATATATATAGTATATTCAGATGAAATTCATATGAGAGTATAAGAACCTATTTTAAGAACCTCAGTAGCCTAAATTTGCTTTAAGTACTATTCATATAAGAACCTATTTAAGCTAAATTGAAAAATTCAGGTTCTTATACGCGGGCTATTACTGTATCATGAATTTCAAACCATTTCAATCAATCAATCGGTGAAAGCCTTATTTTACAATGACAGTTGTCAAAGCTATTAAGCTTGCTATGAATGTACCTAGGTTTATTTTATTATGTGCTAATCTTTTTTTTCTTTTTTTTTCTTCAGTAGTGGAACAAATCTTTACACATTTGTACACAGAACTGTTTCCTGAGATGAGATATGCTTTTAGAGAAGCAGTGCGTTGTATGAATCCAGATTATAAGAACAATATGTTATGTTGTAGAGCTATAGGATGAGGAAGCTGCAGCAGTACCGTAAATGATTGATTATGTGCCACACCTTTACCCAAAATTATTTAATAAGCGCCGCTCTCAAATGAGTGTCACAGCAATAATTTGGGTATTTGCAAATCAACGACCTACCTTTGTTATGGCCCATGTACATTGCTATTTAACCTCCTTATAGCTGCAGTTACGAGAAAATTAAACCGATCAATACATCTCAAGTGATTATTTATGAGTTTAAATTTGTATGTCTAATTCTTTGTATACCAGTAATAAATTAAGTCTAATTACCAATTACAGTGGTGAGGAGGTGAATATAACACTATTCATATAATTACAGCAGAGCTTCAATAACTCGAACTCAGATAACTCAAATTCCCCGCTAACTCTAACTAAATTATTTTCCTTTTCCTTGATCACATTTTCACTAAAATTTACCCTGCTAACTTGAATTACCCACTAACTCAAACTGTTTTTAAATTTCCCTTCAGAGTTAGAGTAACCGGGGTAAAATAATGGTTTTCACTCTAGCATTTTATGATTTAGGGTTGAACCATGTGATTCTATTCTAAATTAACATGTCACTAAAATTTCATGCAATAAGGTAACTTGTAAGGTATTAAAATAATATGAAACCTGCTTTCAGCAATAAATAATATTTTACTGTTTTCAGGAAAGCTGTTTTATTACCAGAAATGTAAGTGGAAACCCAAAAGAGTTGATTGGACGAGAGATGAAAAGGAGTGGATAAGGAGGATTGTCAGTATGAGGTAAATGAAAGGAAGATATCCATCGTTTCCCCAGGCCAGTTTTCCATCATCACATACAACCACGATGAGTGGGAAAAAAATTATTGCTTCCTGCACTGCCGTAACACGAAACCAGTTCCTGACCATACCAGTGACGAAGTTGAGGAATTCATTGACTGTTCTGTTAGACCCAGCCACAGCTGCTTCAGCCCTAAGCATGACAGTGACAAAGAGCAGGATCTCAATGACAGTTCTGTCAGTCTCAAGAACTGCAGCTTTGGTTCTGAGAGTAACAGCAGCAAACAGGAGGATGTCAAGGACAGTTTTGCCAGTCCCAAGAACAGCTTATTTGGTTCTGAAAGTGACAGCAGCAATGAGGGGTATCTCAATGACAGTTTTGTCAGTCCCAGCAACAACAGCTTCAGCCCTGAGCATGATGGTGACAAAGAGGAAGACTTCAGTGACAGTTCTGTCAGTCCCAAGAACTACATCTTCAGTCCTGAGAGTGACAGCGACAAAGAGGAGGATCTCAATGACAGTTTTGCCAGTCCCGGCAAAAACAGCTTCGGCCCTAAGCATGACAGCGACAAAAAGGATTATGTCAGTGATAGTTCTGTCAGTACCAAGAACAGCAGCTTCAGCCCTGAGATTGACAGCAACAAAGTGGAGGATCTCAATGGCAGTTCTGCCAGTCCCAGCAACAGGAGTTTGGGCCTTGAGTATGACAGTGACTCTTCCTGTGTTGCTAAAAGAAGCAAGATGCGTTTGACTTTGGCAGATTTTCTTAATGGCAAATTAGAAAGCCTCACTCGCAAAGATCTCGCATCATATTTGCTACCTCAGGTAGCATTTATTCCACCTGAAGATGTGCAAATTGCTGATAGTGGAGCAAAGGCTTTCAATCGCCTGTTGGCAAACCAGAGGCCATCAGAAAGCACCGTACAGCATTCAATGGATTTATTGAAAGGGGACACTGCCAACCTTGTCAGGATTGGGATTCTTGGTAGCTTCACTGCAGTAAGTAAAGGCATTTGACAAAATGTTTTTGCTGGCTGCAGAAACTTCAAAGGTAAGAGAGGAGCTCCAGTGGCTATCTAGACTCCTCAGTCCTCAGACAAGTGTTTGATCAGAGATGTCCTTGACAATTCCAGGCCACATATGTTCTGCTACAGGAACAACTTTCAATTATGGACGTGAATGACTACACTAGCCTGTGAACGATATGTGAAAAGTTTTACCATTGACAATGTTTATGAATTTTCTTGCAAAGGGCAAGCAAGGAGACATTGTGTACCTGCCCTGTTACAGCCATACCTGGGATAAGCAAGGAACTGGGTTTTTAAATGAAAGGTTGCTCGCTATTTTGACAAAAACCCAATGGATCATGCAAAGATAATCTGCTCTCCAGTCCACAACCACTGGGGACTAGTTTTCTTTGCTACAGCAACAAACACTGTGTATTTTGATGATGGCCTGAAATTATTACCCCCAAGAGACACTCTTAACAGTTGTGAGAAACATGGTAAGTGGTTCTGAGATCATGTCAAGTCAGTCAAGTTTTAAATCGCAGAAATGGAACAATGGCAACTTGTCCCTCCCTCTCCCTCGAATTCACATGCCAAAGAAGACTGCAGAAGGAGTTGGAGCAGGAAGCAGTGGTGTCGCTGTGATTTTGTCCTTTAGAGACATAATTAGAAGTGGCTTTGCAGTTTTATGGTTCGGGTTATGACACTTCAACTTGACGGCCGGAACATGAAGCTGACGGCCGCAGTGTTTAATGATATTGCCCAAACGCTTCACTTCATCCATAGCAAAGGCTTCCTTCACAATGATTTAAGGACAAACAATCTTCTGCTTGAGTGTGCCGCACCACAAGTGACATTTTTTCTTTCGGAAAAATGCTTGAGCTGGCAGTTTCCAAGCAAAGTTTTTGCCCTAAATTTTCTGATTTAGTTTCTAAAGCTACTTCATGAGTGGCTTCACAGAGAATTTCCGCTAATGTGGCGTCTCTGTTATTACTCGAAAAAATGAACAAATTTAAGACTTGTCGAGAGATACTTTTGCTTAGCTATCCAGACAACATTTCGGACTAAAAATTTGTTCCATTATACGACTGTAATATCGTTCAAAAAATCCAGATTTGGGCTATCAATCGTACCATGTTTTCGATCTAGAAAACATGAATTCAGCTGACTGCAAAGCCGAATTTCGAGTTGAAAAGGCAGACCTTCCTCGCCTTGCAGATGGCTTACATATTCCCGCAATGTTCCACTGCAAACACAGAAGCATTTATGATGGTTCGGAGGGACTGTGTGTGCTGCTGAGACGAACAAGTTATCCCTGCAGATTCAGTGATATGATTCGGCATTTTCCAAGACCAGTTTCTGCTTTGAGTTTGATTACAAATGAAGTTGTGGATTTTATTTATGACAACCACTGTCACCTCGTAAAAGAGTGGAATAGAGATGTACTTAGCTCAGTTGCTCTTCAACAGTATGCTGAGACCATCTCAAAGAAAGGATCTCCTCTAAATAACTGCTTCGGTTTCATAGTTGGCATGATCCGACCAATCTCTAGACCTGGGAATGGACAGAGGATTGTGTATAATGGACACAAACGGGTTCATGGACTAAAAATTCCAGTCCATTGCCTTACCGAATGGACTTACAGGAAACATTTTTGGGCCATTGGGTGAGAACTTAACTATTTTCACTGAATATTAATAAGATTAATTACAATGTTATTTATATGGGCTCCCGGAATCTAAGATTTTTTATGAACTTTTGTCTCAGAGGCACGAAAACACAACGCAGGTATGCTCGCTGAATCTGGGCTTCTGAACGACAAGGGGAACCTCACCTTTTCCGCAGCTGGCCAACCTATGTGCATTTATGGCGATCCAGCTTATCCCCTCTGGATTCATCTTCAAGTGCCATATCGCCAGGGACATCTACCCCAACAAATAGAAGATTATAATAAAGCAATGGATCCAACGGATCCAACGGATTTATTAAATCATGACATTTGCTGAAATTCATTCATTTTGTAATTTTTGTTTTGTTTAGTTAAGGGGTCGGGAGGTGGACTCTTTGTAGGAGATACTTCTTTTCTTGCTATTTTAAATCAGTAATATTGGCTAAGGCCTAATCAGAAAAGGAGCTTGCAAATCCTTGTTTTTGTGTGATGTTTAGCCGATAACCCAACCAAAAACCAATACATTAAATCCAAGGTTCACTTTTTTACAATATAAAGTTTGTCATCACCAATGGGAGGGATTTCAAATAGTCTTAAATTCTAGAACAGGTTGCTAAAAATTCAACCATTGCTCGAACGGGGTACTGTTTTGAGAAATTCTTTATAGAAAGGGGCCAAAACTTGGAAGCGCAAACAGAAGATACCCACCACAGAATTTATGACCCGAGTACCCCTTCGTACCCACCCCTACCCGCGGTATCGCCGGTTTTTAACCGGCAAATAGAAAATAACATCGACTCATGCGAGAGATTTTGTGACCCCCCCGAGACTAGCAATTCCCTCCCCTCCCTGCCCTCCCGCTTGTCCACGACAACCGCTGGACACAAACCTCCTCAGGTGATAGTTACAGGTAATGCAATCTCGATCGCAGAGACACGAAGAAAAACATCCATCTCCAGTGGAAAGCCAATTTCATGATTTAAAGGATAAACAACAAAATTAAAGACCAATAGGGGTAAGACATATTTTCAGTGAACATTAGATCTATAGGAAGTCTATGGCTTTGGTCCTCTTTTTTAAGCGAGTCTTCAAATTGTTAGCGGATCGTAGATCAGCACGCGTTTGATAGTAGTTTTTGTTTGTCTTACAGATTATGGTCTTCAAACGGTCGTAATTCGACTTTGTAGAAATTTTAGAGATTGTTTTGGTGGGGGTCTTAGTTTTCGTAATTACGAAAACTAAGACCCCTAAATTTACCGCTAAATTTGACCTAAAACTTGGTGGAAAGGATCGAACATGATATAATTTGACAGATCAGACCTATTTCTGTTACAATTTGACTTTATATTTAGACGGATTCAATTTTAGGGGGTCTTAGTTTTTGTAATCTCGAAAACTGAGACGGGTCTTAGGCCTTAGGTCTTAGTTTTCATAACACCCGCAATGAAAACATCATAAATCACAGTGCCTCTTATATTGGAAATATTCTAAATTGTTATGCATCCGAACTCTAATTAAATTTTCTTACCATATGAGTAGCGTTGAAGCCGTACATAGCCAAGTAATTTTCTTTCATGATATTACTCAATTGTTCCTTTTTTTCCTTTTGTCATTGTTTTGGTACTGAATTCTTCATGTCGAAGATAAAGTCAATAAAGTTGTAGTATTAACAGGTTTAAGTTAACAGATAAATAGTGCTGTGTCTACTAAGTGTACCCAATGTATGAGCAATCTGCGAGCCGCTGATTTCCCTCTTCAATAAGTATAATATTTAGAAGGTTGCAGTACCTAAACCTCATAAAACCCACATACCAATTTGAATTGTTCTTGTAAAAATTTAGGTGGGAAGATCGGGGTAGAATACAGCCAGACACGCAAGAATTGGTCTTCAGATGTCAGTTGTCTTGATTCAAATGAACCTGATGATCTGACTGATGAATCCCTCAAAGAAGATTTTGTAAAGAGTGAAGAGCTGGATCCCACTATTGGTGACTTGGAGCCATCTTCTACAAAGCGGCAGCCTTCAAGTGCGATCACTAGTATTTTAGACAATTAAAATTGATGGAAATTTGTGTATATTTGAGTTAAACGACAGTCTTTCATTTGAACTCCTTAGGAACCTCCTTTATTTTATTTTAATATTGTTTTGGTTCTTCTTCATTCCAGCTGAGTCATCTAGCCTGGAAGACAGCTCCACTACTGACGTAGAACCACCATCAAATGACGTACATGTACCTTTGATACTCAGCTGCAGGTAGGAATATGAGTCAGAAATTATTTTAGCCTGGCCAATCGTGACTTCATTCTTTCTTCTAATTTCCTCAGTGACAA